CAGCCCCAGCACTTTCAAAATGCGATTCCGCTCAGCCAGCTCTAAGCAACTAAGAAAGTTGTCAACATGCAGATAGTCCGCAGAGTTCCAAAGCGAGGCAAGCACCTCGACGCAGTGCACACATTAACCTACTGCAAAGTATCGTGCGTTGGGACACCACTAGATTGTCCACTGGTCGTCCGATTGCTCGCATAAAGCAAAACTCAAACTCAAACTTGGCGAGGCTGCCAAAGAAAACACGAGGTAAACTCTTGATAGGCGGTTAAACTGGTTGAAATCCATGGGCCCGAGGTTTGAACCTGCGTTTAAACCTATACCCTGTCAGCACCAGTTGGTCGAGCACGGCGGGTTTTTCTGTCTTCTTTGCGAATTCTACTCTATGAAGAGACTCACCCAGTCCAAACCTCTCACCGTCGACCATTCTTCCGGTAGCATGACCAAAGTACGCACAAATTGGCTGAGTTGGCAGGCAATGCCTCGTTTCCGCGCGGCGCCGCCATGAACCCAGCGGCACCCGGAGGCGTTGCCCGCGGTTGCGTGTCTTGATGGCCGTGGCATCATGCCCCAGTTCGGACCGAACTTTCTCATCCATCAAGTCGTCGCATTGCCAAGAGCATCAAGGGCATAAAAGCGACTCCTCAGAAAACAGGTCAGCGATGGAAGCGACAACAAACTTTCGAACATGTTTGACGCGCGTCCATCAACACCACGGGATGAGTTGAGAGAAGTCGACTATCGAGCTGATTGTCTGCCTCCTTGTCATTTTGCGATTGCCCACCTCTCCATCATGAAGACGACGATCCTTGCAGCCTTGTGCACTCTTGCGACGGCGGCACCTCCGACGAGCGCCGGGACGACAACGACCAAGGAAGAACACTTTGTCGAAGCCATGCCCTACCACGCCATGGACCACGAATGGTACGGACGCGGGTTTGGTCGCGGCTGGGGCGGTGGCTGGCGTGGTCGCTGGGGTGGTGGCTGGGGCGGTGGCTGGGGCGGTGGCTGGGGTGGTTGCGGTGGTTGGGGCCACGGTCCCGGGTGCGGTTGCGGCTGCTGCGGCGGCTGGTAGTGCTCTGTAGCTTCGCGGCTTTACACTCAAACCTCATGGCTAATACCACTCAACCGGTTGAAACCATTTCCTCGACTTGCCCTTTTTGTTTTTACATGTCTACTTTTGACCTCGACCAAGCAACTCCCAAGTGCAGCAGCATGTCTCCGCCCGACCACCAGCCTTTGCATGCTACATTCTACTTCAAGAATTTGACGCCGACATTCCGCCTCGACAGTGACGCAAGCTTTTGGCTCGACGCCATCGTTCGCTGTAGAACAGTACGTATACATCGCTCGCGCTCAAGCTGGCAGCCTACGACCAGTAAGCGAACAACGTGGTCGCGACTCGTCATGCGCTGTCAACGATACCTGGACCGCGCCTGCGCCGAGTGCCATGACACGTGCCGCATCATCGCCCGCTTCTGCCCGTCGTGCGGCGCCCAGGTCGATAGATTGATACAAACCGAGCCTGAGCAATGGCGTCGTAAATGCCAAGCGCGATCTTGCGAGAACTCCAATTCGCACAATCTTATGTTTTCGTTTGGATTTATCATCGAGGTTTTATTAACTAGACCAGACTCGTAGCCTTTACGCAATGTCCATCCATTTAACTGTTTATGGTATTGAGACCTACCCGGAATACCTCTTGGCCTGTGTGACTGGTGTCGCCATCGATGCGGCGGACATATACGTAGCGATGCACATTGGATAGGCCCAATGCTGGTCGTGTTGCTGATGTCGATCTCAAGTCGGTGGCAAACTGGCATCATTTTTGTGTGTTTTTAGCCAGCAGATTTTGTCAGCCATATGGACGTCGGGCGATCGAAGCGGGATGGTGTCGTGCGCCTGAGCCTCTCGCCGCACCTCGCGCTCGGGCCTAGCCTCACGCAAGTCTTGGGAGCGATGGCAGCAACGTCGCGCCTCGAGACGCTGCCGGGTGTCGACGTCTCTATGGCGCGCTGCGCCTTTGGCCTCGACGTCTACGATCGCCTGCTGCCGCACGTCGCCACAACGTTTGCCCACGCAGCGTACGTGCACATTGACCTAAGCCATGCGTTGCTGCCATCGGATGGCCTTGTCTACCTTGTGAAGCATCTTTTGGCGGTTCATTTTCGCATGGATGGCTGCCGCTTGCGACTGACGCTCACGGGCCTCCGGCTAACGCTGGCCGATGTGGAGGCACTGCGCCATCTCGCGCCAGTCCTCGACGGTCTGTGTCTGCGCGAAAGCATCGCGTCCGCCAGCGTCGCTCGTGCCTGTATGTCCCACATCGCGTGACCCTCATTGCTAATACCTGTCCCAATAGTTGTCGACAGCCTCGGCGCCTTCTCCGAACTGGTCGTGCTCGACTTGACCAAGGTACGTGACGCAACTGCTCGAGCTGCAGAAGCGACTTCGGCTCGTCTAGATCTTTTTTGCGCGCCGGGACGCCCACCTCTTCCAGCGGTTCCTCGCGCATGTGACGACGCCGACGCCGCAAACACCGTGCGTCTGGCCTTTCCTCGCGTCCCTCGTCCTCGACCACAACGCATTCCCAGTCGACGATGTAGTCGCTCTCCTCTCGGCGCTCATGTACAGCTTCTCAGACCTCTGGCATCCCAATGGAAAGGTTCTTGGAGTAGGTACTCGACGTCGCTGACGCACCTCTCGCTTGCCTACTCGCTGCCGTCAGTGGACACGATCGTCGGCGGCTGGCTGCTTCGCACCATCTTGCGCAACCCGGCGTCCTCTCTCCGGTCGCTCAACTTGGCAGGTCTCTCGCTCCAGCACGACATTGCTTCGACGTTGGCCAATGCTCGGCCCGACCAGCTCTTGCTCCTGGCGTCGCCGTCTCTGGTGACAGCAGACATCCCCGACGGCGCGTTCGTGGCCTTGCCGCACAGCACGGTGGTGCAGGCGTCCACAACGTCGTCGGCGCCGCTGTCTCTGAGGGTGCGTCCGTCGATCGTTCAAGTCGTCGGGTCGACACCGACGTTCACTGCCGTGCTCCTGCCCGGCCACGGTATCGGGTTCATTGACCGCGACGCTGTGGGCGAGGCACTGACTATGAGAGAAACTTCCACCACGGCGTGTCTGAGCGAGCTCGTGCTGGACGACCTGAAGCCGCTTGGCATCTTGCCTCCACTCTTGCACCTCTTCCGGGTACCGACAGAGTTGAGGTCGCTGCGACTGCGCCGATATCAGGCAACGACCACCGAAATCGAAGCCCTCGTCGAGACTTGCAGCGGGCTGCGTGCGCTCGACCTCAAAGCGTGCCGTCTGAACGACGTGACCGTGCTCCTCCCCGCCTTGCAGCACCTCGAACAGCTGAATTTGTACAAAAATCTGATCGGCGCCGTCGGCGCCATGCGCCTCGCACGGGCATTGGAGACCGCACGTGTGCTTCGATCGCTCAACGTGTCGTGCAACCTCATTGGAGAGCTTGGTCTCGCGGCTTTGGCTATGGCCCTCGAGGTGCGTGGTCATTCGGTTCGAGTCTGTGTCATGCTAGTGGGGTAGACCAACCGGACGCTTGAGCACATCACGCTCGATGATCTATCACTTCAGGCACGGTTTGGCAACGTGCTGTTGCGCGTCGAGCCATTGCGTATGGAGGCCAAGTGGGCGTGTGTCCAAGCTCTGACGTGGCGCCACCAGCGCAGTGCGACGAGCACCCGCGCCGTGACCATCTACAGCCAACTGCTCGACCCGACGCTCATGCAGCACATCTTTGCCTTTGCCGGCCGCGCGATTTGTCGCACGATATGTGAACGACCTTGATGCGCGAGGCAAGGACGCAAACCTACCCCTAGTATCTCGGTGACGGTGGAGCTAAGCTACACTTGTTGACTGCTGTACGAGTACCATTTTTCTATGAAAAGAACGCCACTGTGTCGTGGGCACGCGTGGCAAGAGAAAGTATGTACAATATTGTCTCGATTTGTTGAAGGGTATCGGCTTGTTCACGCGCCCCGAGACTAGCCAAAGGCAATTTCGAAAAAGCGGGGCAAATCACTAGACGACCGCTTGTCTCAAAATACATAACAGCGGCTAGGTTGCATTTATCCAGAGCTATCGGCAGTATTAGATCCGCCCAAGCGGCAGCGCAGACTGCAGCCGGGCGACCGTCGATGGATCGAGGGCGTGGGGCACGACGGGCACTGGGAGCGTCATGTACCGCCACGTCTTGATATCAAAAATGTACAAGTTGTCCTTGTACTCGATCGAGAGGATACCTGCCATAAGCGCCGACGCCTTGTCCAGAAAGTACTCGCCGTCAACCGCCCAGTCGGCCAAATCAAATAAATAGAGACTCTGTGCATTGAGGAGTAGAGAGTGCACCTGGACGGGTGGTAACCGCGGAAACCGGAGCCGGTCGACTAGATACGTCAGCAGGATGCACCACATTGTCATGACAACGACGGCGATGCTACCGCTTGTCGAGCCGATGCAAATCCCCGCACTCGAGCAGAGAAGCCCACTGTCCATGTCCACGTACGAGCAGTCCCGTTGGAGCTGCGCACGCGCTGGAACGGGCGACGCAAACGACCAGAGAATCGCAAGAAACCACGTTAAAAATGCGCTCTTGGGCGCGTACGTGGCCGTGTACTGGCGCGTCACGACGCTGAAGAGGTCGTTGAGGGCGTAGACGAGCCACGAAACCTCGGAGGCCGCGAGGATCGTCTTGTACCATGTCAGAGATGGCGACGTAATCAGTGTAGCGGCACCGACTTTAGTCAAAAGCAGCGGTGCCGTGTTGAGAATCCAGATGGCTGTCAAACTGCGCAGAAGAAGCACGAGTCGACCCGCCCACACATGCCCCACGATTCGGCTGAGCTCAAAGAGATTCCAAGCTTCGATGCGACCTCGCTGGCCGAGACTGTAGATGGTCTCAAGCCCCGCGACAGCAATGAGCAAGGTCGTGACGTAGAGAATACACCCTTGACAAAACGACGCAAAGCTCACGGGGACCTCTCCGGGATCGGGACTCATCGTCAATAGCGGCGTCCACTGGGAGAGCGATGTGATCGTACCTGCGTCACCAGTAAACTGGACGGCTTCGCGCGCACCCGTCGCCCACTCGTACAAGAAACACCAGCCGTAGAAGCCCCAGAGCCGCTCGGACGGCGCCAGAAGCGGCACATGGTACAGCTGCACATGTGACGTGTCGTTGGTAAAGTAAAAGTACTGCGTCGTCTCGATCTGGAGTTCACGGACGCTCTGGACCACCGACGGCACAAGACCTTGAGGAACTGGGATCGAAAATGTCTCTAGCCAAGTGACAACGTCGCGAAACTGAGCTCCACACGCAGCGCCCGAGCACAAGTCAAGGGCGCAAATCCCCTCGTAGTCGGCCGGTTCAACCACCGTTGTAGTGAGAAACGCTGCAAACGCGAAGAGCTGCTCCTTTGTGCTGAGCTGCATGAGCTCGAAAAAGTTGGCGTTGCAGACGCTAAAGGCCCCAAAGCCGCTGTAGAGCCCAATCGACGGCTCGGGCGGCAAGTCGTCGCCGCACATGAGGTTGCCGCCCACGAGCATGATCGACGGGTCGGACAAGAGAAAGGGAAGTACTTCGCAGACACTGGGCTTGGAAGGAAGCGATAGAAAATGCGCTTGCGCTAGCTCGTTCGAAACCAGTTGCGTGGCGATGACATTCAAGACAGTGTTGAGAAGGTCCACGAGAAGTCTTGGTGCCGCGACAAGATGAATATCGATGGCGCCAAAAGGACCCAGCGTTGACGCAAGTAGAACCAGACCTGGTCGTAGCGGCGTCGGCAGCGTCAAGTTCTGGGCCAAGAGCAGTGTACTAGACGAATTGGCAAAGGCAAACTCGGGACTAGAAGAGAGGAGGCTCTTGCCACCGATGTACGTAGCGTTGGTAGCTATGGCCCAGAGATCACGCGCAAACGCCCAGTACATGCGATGAGATGTCTGCATCCACGTATGGTAGTCGCCTTCCGACCAACTCAACGTCAGTGATGACGTGTAGCCCAGTGCCGACGTGACCCAGAAGGTATCGACCATGCCAATCGTCTTGTAGTTTTGCCACTGCAACTGGAACCGCGTAATGCTGTAGAGACGCCAGAGAGCCACTTCGTCATCAACAGAATTGACGTTGAGTTTGAGATTCGAGAGCCACTGCTGACCACGCTGCGAAGTCTGCAGGTGCAACACAAAACCAATCTCAAACGAGACACCCCAGCAGCGGTCCCACGCGGCCCAGTCACGAACGTTGCGAAGCGGAATCTCCAAGTACACGGCGCCATTGGCCATCTGAGACGCAACACATCGCGCTTGACGCTTGGTGGTGCTGGCCATGGCCCAATGTCGATCCAAGTCGAGCCAGCAGTACTGCGTAAACATCCACGGCAGCATACACGGGTTCATGTCTCGAAGGCCTTGCGCAAAACGAGCCAGAGGTACGCTGGTGTCCAGGAGCTGACGCCGGGCAGCATGAGCACTCCAGGCAATCGACGCCATCGAGTCATTGTAGAGCTGCGAAATGTCGGCCAGCGCAGGGCTGCTCAAGTCAAGCGTCATATTGGTCGAGATGAGAAGCTGCTGGTTGATGGCATTAGCCAAGAAGGCGTGCATGCCGGTGCTGTTGAAGCCCGTCCAGCCAAAGTCGTTGGCCAAGAAGGTTTGGGCAACCGCGAGGAAGGCGACGTTGGAAGCGAGGCCAATCGCCGTGTACAGAATGCCACACAGCAGCAATATCGTCTTTGGCACGCGTAGTCGGGGAAGTGTGCTTCCGCGAGATGGCCCGAGAGGATTACCTAGAGGCACACGATAGCTCGTAGCGTGAAGGAGCGCCTTTGTCAATGCAAATGCGGTGCAATGGCATCCAGAGCTTGGTGTCAAACACAACTTTCCGAGAGCCAAACGAGACGCAGAGGACGCCGTTCATAGCCGCAGCGATATCGTTGGTCGTCGTCTCACTCGGCCCCAACAAAGCTACATCGCTTGTAGGAGCGTATGCGACCGCTGCTGCCGACAAGAGTAATGACGGCATGCGCGTCAGCGTCGACGGCTTTTGCGTGGCGCGGGACAACATATTCGATCCAAGTACAAGAAGCCATAGAGCAACGACAGTCACAACAACCCGACGTAGGCTACCGATGCTCAAGTGCCCGCTCACACAGTGCAGCATCGCATCGAGGTTCTCCGAGAGGCACGCGCGGTGCAGATGCGTCGAGACCTTGATCGGAGCCGCGACGTCGACGACAAACAAGCTCAGCCAGGCGAGAAGGGCGCAGGTGGAGGCCATGGTGCCGTTGCTACGCGGCGTCAACGGCAGCAAGAAATCCTGGAGAACGTACAAGACCCACGTGACATCGCCGGCCAAAATGCCCGAGACAACCACGGACCGCGTGCCCGCCACAAACAACGTGCCTCGACTCGGTGTCACTTGGTGCTGGAGGGTGCCAGACGACAAGCAGAGAAGCGCTGCGACGCCACGCCCCGCGACAAGCCCGCGATTGAGCCACGATGCACTGGTGAGGCGGTGGAAATAGAACCACGGGGTCGATGACGAACTTGGAGGGCGCGTCACGCGAAGCCAGAGCACGAAAACCCCAAGCGCGAGAGCTACACCACTCACAACGACGCTGCCGAACCAGAGGAACACGCCCACGCACGAGAGGACGCTGTAGGTCGGTGACGGGAGCGAAGCGTACGCATACGTCATGACAGCGTACGAGTGGGCGTCGCCGTCAAACAAGATGACTTCGCGCGTATTCATGGCCCACTCGTAGATGCTCATCCAGCCAAAGAACGCATACGACGGGTCCAAGAGCCGCTGTGTCTCGATACCGAGCGAGGCATTTCGTTGCACCATCTGAAAGATAGGGTTGCCAGAGCTGTCAGGTTGATGCCAGCCATCTCCCTGGGGGGTGCTCTGGCGAGCGCATCGGCGGTTTGACGCAACAAGCCGCTGCAGACAGCAACCTCGGTCTCTGGCAAAAGATCACAGAGTGTGATGGGGGCTTCCGTTGCGGTGGCTATCGACAGAGCAAAGAGACTCGCGAGCGGAGACCAGCAGAGTGTGAGCGGCATCGGTGCCATGCAGCCGTCGTCAAAGCCATAGGACTCGTGAACAAACGAGTAGCCGGCGGACGAGAGGCACGTTGGGTTGCCGCCAAAAAATGTGAGCGACGGATCTCGCCACTGCCGTGGCGTCGGGTGCAGCGTCATCGACGTGAGCGCGTCATAGGCCGTAGCGAACGCAGGACTGAACGCCAACGCTGCGAGCACGGAGCTTCGAAACGTCTGCACGGTGCGCAATACCTCCGCCGGCACGGGTACCCAGAGAAGGTCCGTGTTGCAAAGCGGTCCGAGCTGGTCGTGCACAGCTTGCTGGAATCGATTAAGCGGCGTTCCGACGTTGTACACTTCGATCGCGTTTGGTGTCGTGTGCCCGAAGAAGGTGCTCGCGTTGCGCACCAAGCTCTCATTGTGCGAGAGCGCGCCAAAACCATACATGAGCGTTAACGTCATGCTCAAGGTAAACCAGACAGTCGCCCGGTTCTTCTGCGCGATCGACTTGATGCGCAGGGAAGAGGTCGCACCAAGGGCGTTTGTGACGTCGATCGACTCTTCTAGTCCGAGCTGGTTGAGGTTCGTGTACTGGAGCACAAAGCTGTCAAGACCTGCGTCCGACCAGAATTGAACTTCGCGCTCCACTTGTAGCATCTGGTGCGTCGCGAGGTACGTGAGAAAGGCGGGGCCGTCCGGCGACTCGGCGACGCCATCGCCGATGCGCTGCTGGAACGAGCCTTGGGTCGTCGCACTCCACGCGTTGAAGTCCATGTTGCGCAGGATTGTCTCCATGTACATGGCGCCGTTTCGGACGTAGCGGTCACGGCAGCGCTCTTGCCGCTGCTGCGTGTAGGCCAGGGCCCAGCGCCGATCCAAGTCGACCCAGCAGTACTGCGCGCCAATGCTCTCGACGGCCGCCAACTGAGGTTGCGCAGACCCACAACACCGCCTTCGAGACGCGCGAGCTCTTGGTACATGATGAAGCAAGCGTACGCGGGGTGAACGCCGACGACGTCACTCGCAGCGTAGCCCGCCGATGGCTCCAGGAGGTCGATGGTCCTTGAGGCGTTGTTGGTCAGAAGCGACAGCTGCGTGTTGAGAGCATGTTCGAGCGCCGACGACATGCCGTTGGAGAGAAAGCGGACCCAGAAGAACTCGTTGTCAAGGGTCGCGTACATGAGGACGAGGCTGGCGATACCAAGACCGATCGAACCAACGACGTAGAGAGCACCGAGGAGCTCGAAGAGGCGCCAGGAGCGCGTGCTGGCGGCGGTACTCGCATCGCTCGGTTAAGTCTGCGGCATGACTAGCGTGTGCACGCGATGTTGTTGCTGCTCCAGATCTCGATCTGGCGCGAATTGATACAAAGTAACTCTTCGACGAGGAGTTACTTTGTATGCATTGTTCAACAATCTCGACATTTCGATACGCGGGAGGAGCAGGGGGCGAAAAGGCCTGAATTACTGCCCAGCCTCGGGGGCGGAGCGGCTTAACCGGAGCCGAATTCTGAAATGAGCGTGGTTCCCACTCTCGAAAAGGTCCTTTCGACTCCTTGCCCAATCCATATAGATAGATAGATAGATAGATAGATAGATAGATA